TGTCATCCCGGGCCGAATACTCCAAGACAGTTAAAAATTCTTATATGGTGAATTGGGAACAAAATAACATAAAGCTGCGACTAGTCTAAATCGATAGGATTTATGGTTCTGATGAACATACTGTAAGTCCCTCCCCCCCCTAGGGGAACATTGTCAAAAAGGAGCCGCCATCTTGAATTTTTGATATTTTTTTTTTAATTTACGTTTTACTCAAAAACTACTCATTTTTCGAGAAAATGTAAAGAGAAATAAATTGAAGAGCCCAAAAAAACCTTTAGAAAAATATTATATATACTTTCTGGGTACTACCCTTACAGAGATAGGAGCCAAAGAAGTACTGGCAAAAAACAATTTTTTGCCTAATTTTCATTTTACTCATAAGCCACCGTAAGCCACTCACTTTTTAAGAAATATAAAGATACGTTAATCGAAGAATTAAATCTGAGGTACCATCGTGACCAAAAGTATCTGAGACACAAATAATGCATAATAATCTCCTGGACTAATTCTACTGTCATTCATTTCAATGCATTTGATTCATAGTTTGACAAACATTTGACAATAAAATTCATGTAATAGGACAAGAGCTTATGTGATGCTGTCCCAGTTACTTTTGGTGACGATGGTACATAGGTGACAGCGAACATCCGCGGTAGTACCCTTATCAAGATAGGAGCCGATGGAGTACCGCCGACATAGGATTTTTTTATTTTTCTTTTTGAGAGAAAAGCATTAGCAGGAAATTTCAAGAACGTGACTTAAAACATATTTACCTACGAGCGTGCGGTAAAGTGCACTTTACCGCACGTTTTTGAAAATGGAAAGTAGCACTTTACCGCATACTATGCTGTAAAGTTAACTTTACCTCATAGTGTGCGGTAAAGTTAACTTTACAGCATAGTATGCGGTAAAGTGGATTCCAAAGTGTGCGGTAAAGTGCACTTTACCGTATAGTGTGCGGTAAAGTAGAATTTGATATTTATTATCAAAATTCCTTTCTTTTTCAGAAAATAGATTTTTGATAATTTCTAAATCTAATCTTATTTCATTAATTAATCTGATTCATTAATTAATTTTATCAATGCCTTTTTCTGGAGATGTAGATGCTCATAGGTAAAATTTTGTACCTAACACATGCGGAAAGTGCCTTTACCGCCCTTAACGGCTTGACCGAACTCCGCTTCGCGTCGTTCGGTCAACTGCCGTTGCGTGCGGTAAAGTATCACTTTCCGCATTTGTTAGGTAAATAACTATTCTGATATCAGTACTCGCGTGCGGAAAGTGTCACTTTTCCACACGCGATTACAGTTGGCCGAACGATGCGAAGCGGAGTTCTGCCAAGCAATCAAGTGAAGAAAAGAGACTGATCAATTGGGCCGAATGGGCATGGAAAGATGTAAATGAAGAGCTACATCCTATTACAATGGAACAAGAAGTAGCTCCAGAATTTATCTTAAGAATGATTTTTTGTAACTGCAAAACAGGATGCACGAAGCAATGTAGTTGCAAAAAATCAAGCGTTTTTTGCTCAAATTTGTGCGGTTCTTGCCAGGGAAATTCCTGCGAAAATATTCTTCAACAAAGTTCTCCTTCGAACAATACTGAGTCCGATGAAGAAATGTAAATAGGCCAGGTTGTAGTGTATTTAGTTTAGTTAGTATGTAATTAAGTTAAGAAAGTTTTTTTTTTTTTAACACTGCTTCTGAAAATGGAGTTTTTCGCACGCTATGCTACCACTGAAAATTGAGTTTTTCACACAGCGTGCGGAAAAAAAACGCACGCTGTTCTATTTTCGCACTATATATATTCTCTATATTGACTTGACACAAACAGACACAAAAGTAAAGTTGTCAATTTTTGTCAAACTGTTTACGTTTTCTTATCTATGTGAAATTATTAGTTATTTCCATCAAAATGCAATTTTGGTTGCCTTATTTTGCAGTTGTAGAAGAAGCTCGGCCCTGCGAAAAAAGGAGTTTTCAAAATGTGTTGTTTAAATAACTATTGTTGTTAAATGTTTGTATCTATCATAACAGAGTAAAAAAGTTTCTATGTGTATATGTACTGTATCTAGGTAGAATACGCGTTAGTAATATTATGTTTCGTTGATCGAATTTGTTGTATAAAACAATAAAATTTTCATAAAAGTGTAACGGAAAAGCTATTCTGAAGCGTTCAAAATGGATTCACATCAGATTTCCTACAAAACGCAACAACATTCAAGTTATATTAGCTTACATGTGGCAAGCGGTAATTCGGCGGTACTTCTTCGGCTACTATCTCAGTAAGGGTAGTACCCAGGAAGTTCAAAGATAACTCTTTTTGAATGTTTTTTTGTGCTCTCCAATTTATTCCTCTTCAATTTTTTTTCGAAAAATGAGTAGTTTCCGAGTAAAACGTAAATTAAGCAAAAAATGTCAAAAACCCAAGATGGCGGCGCCATTTTGACAATGTTCCCCTAGGGCAGTGGTTCCCAAACTTTTTTCTTTTGCGCCTCCTTTCTGAAATCAGAAGTGGTCGCGCCCCCCTTCTTACCCCAATTATACAAAACCATTTTTTTTACTTACTGTAACTCGTCTGAACTGGACTTTGGAAGAGGAAGAATGGACATGACAGTGGGCAGCGAGCGTGCGCAGTCAAGAATCCGTTCACGCTTTTGACACAAAGCAGCTCTGAGTAACTCAGCGGGTAAAAGGAATACAGTAATAGATCGCATAACAAAGCTGCTTTGGCTTATGTATGCGCTGTTGCAGGATTGTAGACATCTTTTTTTAAATTTTAACGGATTTTTTATTTTAAAGCTTGAAATTTGTATTAATTGTTTAGAAGACTTACGCCCCCCTCAATGTTGCTTCACGCCCCCCAGTTTGGGAACCACTGCCCTAGGGGGAGGTCTGGGGACTTTTAGTATGTTTATCAGGACCATAAATCCTATCGATTTAGACTAGTCGCAGCTTTATGTTAGTTTATTCCCAATAAAATTATATCTGTCTTGGGGTACGAAGTAATTTCCGGTTTACCACCTGCAATTTCTATAAGCAGCGGTGCTAGTGTTAAACCCCATTTTATTGGCCATAAAATTGCGCGACTTTGCCCTAATTTTACCAACCTCGTATCTTTAATAATAACCAAGATACCTCTGGTTAGAATAATAGACACACTGTATTATTTTTGTTTGACCCTGTATAATATGTTTTAAAGTGTGTTTCCACATGCGCCATAATTGTAGTGTTTGTTTCGAAAGAAATAATGACGTCAATAGCTATATTTTACATAAAATCGCATAACTCAAGATAAAATTGTAGTGGGCTGCGATGTTCAAAAAATCTGAAAAATGTCCAGAGGTACTAAGGTACTCTTCCGAACTGCATACCAAAAATCTACTTAACGCTCCCTCCAGCAGAATGGGGTGAACCCAAACTTTCGCAAAAAAATCGCCAACTTATGTTTCACCCTGTATCTTTTAGCAGGTGGCCGGAAATCTGTTAAGAACTGGAAATTAAATAGCAATTAGACCATCCTTTCACTCCTGAAAATTTGAACAAAATCGGCCTGCTAGATTTTGAGTTATAGCCTTTCAAAAATTGACCAAAAATTGGGGTGTTCGAGTTCAATTGACGCGTAGTTTATTTAATTGTTCTAAATCAGCAATAATTGAATCAATGTTATCAACGGACATGAAAATAAATCAATTACACTACTTACAATAATATTAGGCAGGCAATTCCAGTCATTTCCTATAAGGTCGAAGTTTCGGTTTGGCAATGTTTGTCCTCTCCAAATCTTGAGCCTTGCAAAAATAGACAATGTTGGTTCTATTTCTCGATGATCAGTTGGTCGACGATAATCCACAGATCTACGATAGATTGGGAGCTTTCGATATTCAGAAAGTCCACTCTGTTTCAACACCTCCGCCAACGTCACAACACTAGATTCTTTTTCGGTAAATCCAGTTGAAATGGAAAAAATCAATATAATCGATTCCTATATTGATTCCCGAAAATCCGTTCCGACTGCGCCAATTAACTAACACGACCGGAGGTTTGCTTTTTTAAAAATTTATTATTACAACTTAAACTAATGGGTTACAAATTAAAGTTAAAATATATCTAAAAGCAGACTGCCCGCGTCTGGTTGGGATCTTCTATATATTGAGGTTGAATATGCAACCTCAGCATCGGCAACTTCAGCATTTCTGGGAATTGACTACCATATAACTCACGTAAAGTGAGACGGTAATTATCGGAGTAAGGTTACAAAAAGGAAATATGATTTGAATCATGACTTAATTAGGTTGGAAACTACAACTAATATAAAAGATACTAAATCATTTTTAAATGTTAGTTGAGGCTAATAGATATTAATCTTTGTTTAATTTTAATATTAGCAGTATAATAATGAAGATATTGATTGTTGAATTTAAAAAAAAAATCAAATATCAATTAGGAAACTAATATCGATTCATTATCACGCAAGTTTCTTGTGTCCAAATATTGTTAGCCTTTTTATAGCCTATTATATTAAGAGCGAAAAATTATGGATTACTATATTATTATTAGGTGAAATCCTTATAATTAATTACTATAGACACTCATTGTTATAAACGAAAGTTTCACTCTAAATGTAATATTATACTTATTAGATAATTACAGTTTTTTTAATAAGGATCGTTTTAAAAAAGGAGAGTCTTTTGTAGAGGTTCTTTCAAGGTGCCCAGTGTTAATTTGATATTTGGAGTTAAACATACAGGAAATATAAAGTCGGTTTTTTTAGCTACAATTATTGTTTAATTGAATTGTACTTGAAAAGGATATTAATTAGGACAATAATGATCAGCTTCACCTGCCAAATAAAAAAAGCTTGCCTCACTTATCTCAATGGTCACGTCATGTGTGGTGTTTTGTAAGATTAGGTATATTTTTCCATTTACAATAAAACCGATAAATTTCTTCATCATTATCATTCTTCATGTCCTTTAACCTTAAGAGAGATACTAATATTTTTACTGATACTAACCATATTTATTTCGAAAGTATTATAGACTAGTCAAGATTTTTGGGTATTTTTAAAATTATTTGGTAGATTTATTTTACAAAAATGAACAGAGTGGCTTCAAGTTCTGTTAAATATTTGAGCAGTTTCAAAAGTCTAAGATGTTTAAGGCCATTTAGCAGCGCTAGCAAGCCTGATGGGCCCCTTTTTCCGCACAAAGATGATTTTCCCAGCAGGCATATTGGACCTAGAGATAGTGACATTATTGTTATGCTTGACACTATTGGCTTTAAGGTGAGAATTTGTGTAAAATTGAAGAGAAAATGCAGATATAATCTAAAAGTCTTTGTTTTAGAGTCTAGATCAACTTACTGAACAAGCTGTGCCCAAAAACATATATCTAGGAAAGCCTCTTGATATTGAAGAGCCTACTAGTGAGTATTTTTTGAAGTTTTATGTTTTGTTTAAGTAGGCAATATTGAAACCCAAATCAAGTAAACTCGAAGAACATTTGATTGGTCAAAATAATTATCAACAGAGTCTGGCTAATCAAAAAACTTTCATGCCGTAAATATTTTTTTTTTTTTAAGGTGAATACGAATTAATAAATAGAATAAGATCAGTTGCGGAAAAAAACAAAATATGGAGATCTTACATTGGCATGGGTTATCACAACTGTTGCGTTCCTCACACCATTATGAGAAATATTTTCGAAAATCCTGGATGGACTACCCAGTATACGCCTTACCAACCTGAAGTAAGTGAACCTACCTAATAGTGATTCCAGGTACACAAAAGATTAGTCATCGCTTTTCAAACTTATTACAATATTGCAATACCCCCACTAGTTTGAAATATACCAGCAGTAGGTATATTATTCAATAAAAAAAAAACATAAAATTGAAGACAGGTTTAACATAGGTACCAACAAGCTTCTTCATAAAATCTGAATTGTCTCTGCTTTTACAGTACCCAACAAAGTCATAAATTTATAATGTTTAGTTAGTTGACCCTAAAGCATTTGTCAAGATATCCGGTGACATCTCACTCGATTCCAGATCTTACCACTTTCAATGGCTTCTCTAATGAAATAGTGACGCACATCTGTATGATTGGAACGTTAATGAAAAACTGGATTGGACGAAAGCTTAAGTGCACTTTGGTTATCACTATATAAAATAACATTATCAAAAGGATCAGTCATGCCCTCGGTCATGCCACAAATCTCTGAGGTAAATCACCTCTTTTGCTGCCTCTGATGATAAGGCCATATACTCGGCTTCTGTGCTGGCTAGAGCCACTGTTTCCTGCTTAGTGCCCTCTCAAAAAATCAAAGAATTTGAAAAAGTGAAACAAAAGCCAGTATAAGACCTTTTGTCTGAAATGTTGTTGCCCCAATTAGCCTTCACGTATCACACTAAACGACTAGAACTCTTCAAATTTCAGAAAATAATCTTTAGTCTTTTTAAGGTACTTAAGAAGTCTCTTTGCATGTTGCCAATGTACATTTTCAAAATAGTTATTAAATCGACTCAACTCACACTAAAAGAGATATCAGGTCTAGTCATTATAGTCAAATACATCAGACTGCCAATTCACTGCTGATATGGCACTGGAAAAGAACTTTATTTACAATCATACATGTAATGTTGACTTTACTGACTTTTAAAAAGTTCGAAAATGTCACTTTTTTGACTTTTACTTTCGACCCGTGGGTCGAAAGTGAATGAAATTTTTAAAATTTATTGTATTTTTTGACTTTTACTTTCGGCCCACGGGTCGAAAGTAAACTTTCGACCCGTGGGCCGAAAGTAAATGAAATTGTTAATTATTGTATTTTTTAGTTTTAATCCAAATGAAAAAATCAAAATTCGAATGATTGTAAATAAAATAGTATACATACCTCGGTGAAAAGTTTCATTACTGTCTCGAGATTTCAGTTAGACCTCGGCGGCGCCTCGGTCTAACTTAAATCTCTCGACAGTAATGAAACACTTTCCACCTCGGTATGTAATATACTATTATTTACAACAACATACGTAATGTTTACATTTCTGACTTTTCAAAAGTTTGAAAGTGACACTTTTTTGAATTTTACTTTCCACCCGGGTGGAAAGTGGTCCCGGGTGGAAAGTGCTCACTTTCCACCCGGGTGGAAAGTAAGTTCTCATTTCCTAAAATGTTTAAGACGAGTCCTGCATGTCAAACGTTTTTTTAGATGAGTCAGAACTTGTCAACAAATTTTTTAATTTTTTTTTAGTATTTAGTCGAAATAATGAGGTTTGTAATTGTTGTAAATAAAATAGTATACAAACCTCGGTAGGAAGTTTCATTCCTGTCTCGAGATTATAGTTAACTTCGACGCTTCGCGTCTCAGTTAACTAACTGATCTCTCGACAGTAATGAAACACTTTCCACCTCGGTATGTAATATACTATTATTTCCAACCACATACGTAATGTTGATATTTCTGACTTTTCAAAAGTTTGAAAGTGACACTTTTTTGAATTTTACTTTCCACCCGGGTGGAAAGTGGTCCCGGGTGGAAACTGCTCACTTTCCACCCGAGTGGAAAGTAAGTTCTCATTTCCTTAAATGTTTAAGACGAGTCCTGCATGTCAAACGTTTCTTTAAATGAGTCAAAACTTGTCAACAAATTTTTTTTTTTTTTTTTTTTTGTATTTAGTCGAAATTATGAGGGTTATAATTGTTGTAAATAAAATAGTATACAAACCTCGGTAGGAAGTTTCATTCCTGTCTCGAGATTATAGTTAACTTCGACGCTTCGCGTCTCAGTTAACTAACTAATCTCTCGACAGTAATGAAACTCTTCCCACCTCGGTATGTAATATACTATTCTCTACCTTTATTCAAATTTTTATTTTCCTATATAGGTGTCTCCACAGTTTTACAGTCTGACATATCAAACTTGGACTTTGTGTACTTAAGGTTAGTTAATACTACTTCGACATTTTTATACCAAACTCTGGATAATAATTTGAGACCCTAAATTGCTCGATTGAGCTTTAACACTTTGTTTCCAGAACCCTGATTTATGAAGCCCTCTGGTTGCTTCATACAAATAGTCTCCTGAAATTCCCCGTGCAAAAAAGCTGTGGTGACATCTAAATGAGAAATATCAAGTCCTATATATCAACACTTAATGCAATCAAAAAACAGAGTGTGGAAAGTCCCAATTCAGGTGAGAATGTTTCATGGAAATTCACTCCCTCTTTCTGGGTGAACCCCTTAGCTACTAGCCTATCACGATAGGTCTTGTTACTATCCTTATCCATGTTAATCACACACACCCACTTACATTGAACTACTGCACTTTTCACTGGCGCATCTACCATTTCCCAAGTCTCATTTTGCACTCATTTTGCCTTCCAACGGCTATAATCTGGTCTTGACAATGCCTCTGCCATTGTCACAGGAGCCGCCTAAATAAGCAGCATTTTGTCAGTG